GCTCTCTGATGAGGGGGTTATCCCAACCCCAAACCCGCCCGTTCCAACGCCGCTCTCCTCCCGCAGGGGAGAAGCAGATGCGCTTCGCCCTCTCCGAGCTCCCCTTCGACGTGAACTCCAGCTTCGAGAAGGACGTGGAGGTGGTCTCGGCCCACCACCCCCTCGACGCCTCCTACGGCGGCCCCCTGTCCCTGCTGGGGGGGGAGCACCTGCGCTCGCTCCGCCTGCCCCCCACAAACTGCATCTCCGAGGTCACCCCCGTCATCAGCTCCGTCTACACCCAGATCCAGGCGCTGCCGGCGCGGCTGGAGCTGCCGGGGGGCCGGGAGGCCGCCGAGGGCCACGAGGAGGTGCCCGACGGGGTGTCGGTGGTGTTCCGGGCCCGGGAGCCCAGCGGGTCTCCCTCCAACGGCTGCCAGGACTCCACGGACACGGAGAGCATCCACGAGGAGCGGAGCTCGCAGCTGGCGCCCGGGAGCAGCCGGCACAGCCCAGCCTACGCCAAAGAGGAGCCCAAGGGGCCGGAGGGACCCCCGGGCGCCCGGTGCACCCCCAGCTCCGCCAAAGAATCCCTGCGGGTGCTCAACGAGGACGGGGAGCAGCTCCGGGCCTTCAAGTGCGAGCACTGCCGGATCCTCTTCCTGGACCACGTCATGTTCACCATCCACATGGGCTGCCACGGCTTCAGAGACCCTTTCGAGTGCAACATCTGTGGCTACCACAGCCAGGACCGGTACGAGTTCTCCTCCCACATCGTGCGGGGCGAGCACAAAATCGGCTGAACCCCCTCCGGGCCCCCCCAGCCCAGCCCAGCCCAGCCCACCCCCCTCCTCAGTTCTCCCCCTGTCTCTAGCGCAGCCCCTCCATCCCTAGGGCATGGAACTGTTGGTTTTTCTTTTATACTCCTTTGCACTGACTTTGGCTACAAAAAAGTATTTAAAAAAAAAAATTTTTCAATAATTAAAAAAAAAACCACAAAAACAAACCACGAACCAACCGGCCCCGCCGAGGGGGAGCCCTTAATCTGCCTTTTTATAAACGGAGTTATTTAAATATTGAATATTAACGGACTTTTTTGTGCTTTCCCCCCACCTCCCGAGCCTCCTTCCGTTATTTATTAAGCTTTTGAGTTTCCCTTTTTATAACTCTCTCGGGTTTTTTACCCAAAGAAAGTCTCATCTGAACTTTTGAGACTGTTCCCCCCCGTCCTGCCCCGTCGGCTCCTCTCCGAGCCCATTCCTTGGTGCGAGCCCGGCATTGCCCGTCCCCATTCCCGGGCAAAGTAAACCTCAAATTAGGTGCTAAACCCCCACGGGACCCCCCCCCCCCCCCCCCTTGCCCCCCCCCAGCCCTGAGGGAGCTACTGCATTCCGAGCTTTGTCTGGGAAACCCCCGGAGTGGGATGTGGGGACCCCCAGGCGCCTTCCCAGCTCCCCCCTCGTGGGGTTCAGAGCCCCCCGACCCCAGGTGGGGGTGATGGGGTCCATGTCCGCCCCAAAAATGAAGGATGGATCCATCCTGTTCCTGGGATCTCCTCCTCCTGCTCTTCCTCGGCACAGGCCGGAATCTGCTGCAGGGCAGGACCCCCCCCGGGGGACCCCAGAGCCAGTGGGACCCCCCCAGGGGACCCCAGGTCCGGCCCCCCTCGCTCCCCCCAGCATTCCCGGGGCTCAGTGGGGTCTCCGTGCTCTCCTGGTGCTCCCGTTCCCACACGGAGCAGCCGGAAGCCGGAGCTTCCCAGGACCCCCCAGTTTGGGTCCGATGCCCCCAACACACCCCCTTTTCCCCTGGGACGATCCCGGGGGCAGTTTGCCGGGATCCAGGCGGATTCCAGGGGCGGGTTCCATTCCCAGTCAGGCACTCCCAGTCCCATGGCTGGGGGGTCTGGAGCAGGGGCCCCTCTGGGATGGGGTCCCACTGGGAGCAGGGCCAGGGCAGCAGCGAGAACCAAAAATCCCGGGCTGAGCTCCCGCCCCTCGGAGCTGGGGGACCCCCAACCGCAGCCCCCCTGCCCAGGGGACCCCCGGCTGCAGCCCCCCCCCCCCCGGGCTCTGACCCCCCCCCCCCCCCCCCCCCCCCCCCCCCCGCGGGGGTCCCGCTCCCCCCGGCCCAGGATGCATAAAAGGCCCCTCGGGGCCGCCCCCGAGGGCGAAACCAAAGCTGTTCCTTTGTACGGACACACACACACCTCAGCAGCGCCGCTGCCCTCCCGCCTCTCTCGGGGACATTATCCCGTTTTTGGGGATTTTGTCCCTTGTTTCCCCCTCCTTTTTGCTCTCCTGACGGCCTCTGGTGGCTGGGGGAGGTTGGGGGCGGCTGAAGGAGGGGGGTCCCCCCGTTCCCAGCCGCCCATAACGGGGTGCCCACGGCACCCCCCCCCCCCCCCCCCCCCCAAACCAACCCAAAAAAGGGGTTTTTTAATCCAAATCGAAGCTCTGCCGTTTCCAGCCCCTCTTGGGTTGGTTGGTTGTTTTTTTTTCCCCCCCCTTTTCCGTTTTCTTTTTTTTTCCCCTGTCGGAGTCTGAAACAAAACTGTAGGAATTTTGTAAAACCTCCAGGTCGCTTTATCCCTGTAAATATCTATTTTTTAATCCGATGGATGAAGAACAAACGAGGATGTGCAATACCCCGCCTCCCCCAGGAGTTTTTTGGTTGTCTCTCGTTAATGGATTCGCTGTTGTCTTTGCTTTGCCCTTTTTTGTGAGGTTTTGACTCGCTTTTGGACACCCCCTGTCCCCCCCCACCCCCGACCCCCCCCAGGAGCTTTTGTATCTGTAAAATATTGTAATTAATGATTTGTGTAACGAGATCTACTGTAAGTTTTGTACTGTACTGGCTGAGGGTCTGTTATAAATAAACCGGAGTAATTTAATGCGCCCCCCCGGTTCCCTGATGTGGGGGGGTCGGTGGGGACCCCACAGGGGTTTGGGTGCTCAAAGGACACTGGGGACCCCCAGAATGGTGGGGGGGGGATGACACTGGGGACATCCAGGGCTGTGGGGGGCACATCACTGAGGACCCCCCAGGGATGCAGGGGGAGGACACTGGGGGTCTGCTGGAGGAGTTTGGGGTGGTGACAGGACAGAGGGGACCCCCAGAGATGGGGGGAGGACACTGGGGGTCTCCTCTGGGGGTTTGTGATGGTGACAGGACAGTGGGGGCCCTGGGGGGGACACATGGGATACTGGGGACCCCCCAGAGATGAGGTGAGGATACTGGGGGGCCCAGCATAGGGGTGGGGCAGGCGGGGGCGCCCCCAAGAAGGGGGGGGCCCCCCCCACCCCCCCCCCCCCCCCCGGACTCCATTTCCCGGCAGCCCCCGCGGCGGGCAGGGCTGATGACGTCACCCAGCGCGCGAATTCACCTTACACCTCGCGTGCAGCGGATCCCTCCGCCGCCCCGAGCGAGGAGAAATAGTCCCCGTCCCCGTTCTCCCTCTCCCTCTCCACCGCCCTCCCCATCCCGGCGCCGCCTCCGCCCGTCCCGGTGCCTCGGGTGCAGCCCCTGCGAGGCGGCCTGGGGGGAGCCACGGCGGGTCGGGGCGGCGGCGGAGGCGCTTCCGGGCGGAGGGAGCGCTTATAAGGGCGGCTGTGCGGCGGCCGCGCCTCTTCCGGCGCCCCCTCAGAGCCGCCATGGTGAGCGCGGCGTGGCCGGGGCGCCTCGAGGCGCTTTGGGGGACCCCGGGGGCGGCGCGGGGCACGCGTGGGGCAGGGGGGACTGAGAGAAGCCTTTCGGGGGCTTCGGGAGCGCGGGAGGGGCGTGGGAGGCACAGGGTGGTGGTGGGGAGCGCAGGGAAGCCCGTATTGGGCAGGGGGTGCTGGGGGGTGGATGGGGCAGGAGATGGGGGGGAGGAAGGAAACCCCGGGGCCTGTGAGGGGCTGTGGGGGGTTACTGGGAATGGTGGAGGGTGTTACGGGGTTGGGGGCCTGGGGTGGGTTCTGGGGCTCAAGGCGGTCCCGGGGCTCACCCTCGGCCCTTCCCTCGGGCAGACGAAGAAGAGGAGGAACAACGGGCGGGCGAAGAAGGGCCGCGGGCATGTGCAGCCCATCCGCTGCACCAACTGCGCCCGCTGCGTCCCCAAGGACAAGGCCATCAAGAAGTTCGTCATCAGGAACATCGTGGAGGCCGCGGCCGTCAGGGACATCTCGGAGGCCAGTGTGTTCGACTGTGAGTTGGGGGGGGCCTCTGCCCCGCCTAAGAGCAGCCCACCCTGCTGCCTCTGCCGCCCCAAAACCAGCCCATCACCCCCAAAACAGCCCACCCTGCTACCTCTGCCACCCCAAAACCAGCCCATCACCCCCAAAACAGCCCACCCTACTACCTCTGCCA